GATGCAGACAGAAGCGTGTACAGTATGAGCCAATCAGTGGCAGTAATGACAGAGCATGCGCTGTTACGCAAAAACCGCCATAGAGTGAAGCCGCAGAAGTCGAAGCGCGAAGTGGCGAGGGTTCACTGTATTCCCCAATATGGCCGCCAGGTGGCTACAGTGAGCTGAGTTTGGACCAAACTCCTAAAGCAGCTGAAGAGGCTCTGGGTGTAAGAGAGCCTCGAAATCGAGTGGCCCTTAGGTGGCTGCACAATCGATCCAAGTGGGAGGTTTTTAAGCATCTCTATACCTGGCCTTAGAGGAGCCTGAGTGGCCAAGTGAGCAGTTGGGAACTACCAGCTGCTTCATGAGTTAGTCTTAGAAACCCGTAGGGACAAACGCAAGTTCTACCCTGTCCCCTAGGCCCGTATGGGTCTGAATCAATTAGATGGCATTGGATTTGATGCCTGGTCTCTGCCCCCAAAGACTGATTTCCCCGGTCCGCTGTGAGGCCCAGGAGCCCTGGTGGTGCTGTTGGTAGGCGCTGGCTCACGCACTGCAAGGTCAAGCCCACCAGCCCCTCCGCGGGAGAGAGAGAGGCAGCTGTCTGCTTCCATAAGATTTACAGCCTTGAACCCCTCCACTGCCTCGTTTTGAGTTGGAATCAGCCCCATGGCAGTGGGTTTTGGGGGAGGGTGGTGCCGTTTGCTGAGGGTGGGGGTGGGGGGCGTGGGTATGTTACAAAGCAGGGGGTGCCAGTCTCTAGCCAGGGCTGAGAACCATGCGCTCCAAGTGGGGTCCCTCCCTCGAGAGACTCAGAACCACCCGGAGGGCTGGGCCCTGCCCGCAGTGGTTCTGAGTCAGCAGGCCCCTGGGTCTGTCTGCCTCACAAGCTCCTAGCTGTCTAAGAAGATCCCGAGGCTGCTGGGGCCGCCTGACCTCAGCTTCGTACCCACTCGCTTGGTGGAGAGGCAGCAGTTTTGCCGAGCTGCGTTCGCATACCGTGTCACCCACCCATCTGAAGTGCGTAATCAACCATTTTTCAGGCATTCCTGATTGTGCCCCATTGCCCCAGTTTATTTGAAACCATTCCATCCTTCTCAGAAGAAACCTGGCATCCAGCGGTAGTAACTCCCCCAACCTCCCCAGCCCTAGAGACCCGAATATTCTACACATTCGAGACCAAAGGAATT